CATATGAAAACAAAAAGAAAGCATGAAAACTGGCATCAGGTTTTTTTTTATTTTCTTTATGATTGGAACATCATTTGAAAATCATGCATTTAAAGTCTGTGGAAAGACATCTTAAAAAAGTGAATGGGTCTCTTTTAACCCAAGCAATATGTAAATCAGGGTACAATTTGCCCTTTAAAGGAGCCACAAGATTTCCCTTTTCAGGCTACACAAAATCTGAGCCCTTCCCTGGATTATTTTCTATCTATTTATTTAGAGTTATGGCTAAATAATAATAATAATAACAATATACCCTGTTCTAGCAATTCCCCTGCATTCATTAGAGGAAGCAAAAATGACCCTGTGGCAAAGCCTGTTGTTCTTACTCGCTCTCCTCAGAGGTAATATTTTTTTCTTCCCTTTTAGTTCTTGTGTACAGGAGAGCTCACTGAAACTCCTTTCATTTTAGGGGTCCAATCTGATGTCCAGGTGGTGGAATCCGGAGGAGATGTTAGAAGACCTGGACAGTCTCTCAGTCTCTTATGCCAAACCTCTGGTTTCAACTTCAATGTCTTCTGGATGAACTGGTTGAGACAGTATCCAGGAAAAGACCTGGAATGGGTGGGCCGCATAACTACAGGCTCACCTCCTACCGCTTACTACAGAGATAAAGTCAAGGGACGGTTCACCATGTCCAGGGATGATTCCAACACTCGGGTGTATCTGCAAATGAACAACCTTAAACCAGAGGATTCAGCTGTCTATTACTGTGCACGAGACACAGTGAGAGGAAGTGAATCTGAAGCCCGTCAAGAATCTTCTTGCCCTATGAGCAGTTCCCCAAGCTGATTTTATTTATTCTATTTTATTTTATTCTATTTTTTTTAATGTATATGCACTCCATCTCATTATCAACCTCCTCATCAACCAAGGATGAAGGGAGAACAGGGAAACCTTCCCAAAATCTGTCAAGTTAAAGATGAACAGAGAAGATCTGGCTGTTAGGGATGCTTTGGTCTAAATGATCTGGGTGGTGTTTTTTGAAACATTATTCCATGATTTTATTGGATTTGGGAATATAAATAAGAATCCCACATCCAAGATAATAAAATCTGACACAGAGAAACACTTTAAATGGAATGACTAGTCATATTTTTTTTTTGGGGGGGGGGGAGAATACACTGAAAGGATCTAAAGGAAACTGAACATCTCAAGAGGCTTCAACCCACAGCATGAAGCCATGTCTGAGCCGACAACAGATGTCCTCTGCTAAATATAGAAGAAACTGATTTTTTTGGGGGGGGAGGTGAATACAAAGTGCTATATTTGTATTTCTCACTCCTGGAATGGAGTATTCTGCTTTAGTATCATGGCAGAAATCTGGAACTGAAACTTCAAGATAATCCATCTAAATATCCAAACTGCCATTCACATGTTGGGGAAACATGTGAAACAAAAGAGTTTCTTTGGAGATAAGATAAGATAAACGTTATTGTCATTTTTTTACTGTGGGCACAACGGCACACATCAAAAATGAAATTTAGTTGCCCGCTCTCAAAGTGAAACACATACATGAGAATTAGGAAGATGTGTCCTCTCCTCACCTTTGACAGTGGGGGGCAATGTTGTCACACCAAATTCCTATGAACCAATTGGAGTTTGGGCAAGAAATAAATTATATAGACAATGCCTCATTTTGGAGGAGTGATCATTGGTTGTTCTTTCTATAACTGTTCCCTGAAAAGAAAATTCCACATCTTAGGAGGCTACAATCTTCACTGTGAAGGAGAGAATTTTTTATAAAATGATATGTATCATTGGTTTTTGTCACCAGAAATAACAACAACTGTCTAGATAGTTCAAATCTTTTTTTTTTTACAAAATTTTATTAAGTTTATATAGATGAGGAAAAATAGGAACAATACAAGTATGATAAAGGGAGGGGTGGAAGGAAAAGGGAAAGGGAAGGGAATAAGGCATTAGGGTAAAATAAGGATAGGTACAATCACACATTTCAACAAACAAGCTACCGTCCAGATCATAATAATGAGTAAATACCATATTCAACCATTTTTACCAAAGCTTAGACTATAACATATTAAAAACAATTAGTAAACAAATACGTTAATCTATTAAGTAAACACTACTAATAAAATCTCCAAAACTCCTAACAATCAAAAGTAACAAATGAGAATCAGTAAATCAGGAAAAATATTCATATCATCAAAATGTTAGTTAAAACTCGATTAAAATCAGTCATCTATTCTAAAATATTGACTCCTTCAAGTTTTAACGTGTCTCTAACCATTGATAATTTTTTCCCAAGTTCTAAAATAAATTGAATCATCTTTTTATTTCATTTCTAATGTTAGTCTATCCATTTCTGCACACTCTAAAATTTTAGTAATTATAATCTGGTCAGATGGTAAATTCTCATTTTTCCAAAATTGGGCAAATACTATCCTTGCAGCTGTTAAAACATGCAATATCAAGTAGTCATTCTCTTTACCATAATTAGGTCTTAATATTCCTAACAAAAGCAATTCCGGTTTAAATTCTATCTGTAGTTTCATCATCTTTTCCAACCATCTATGGATCTTAGACCAATATTTCTTAGTGATAGGGCATATCCACCAGGCATGGTAATAAATGCCTGGCTGTTGTTTACATTGGAGGCAAATATCCGAAACATTTTTAAACATTTTCGCTAAGCAAATTGGTGTCATATGCCATCTATAAAACACCTTATATAAGTTTTCTTTATATGCTACTGCTTTTGTAAGCTTAATATTTTTATCCCAAAGTTTTTGCCAGTCTTCCAAATCTATAGAATGTCCAAAGTTCTTTGCCCATACTTAGATAGTTCGAATCTTTGATAAAAATGAAAACAACATAGAGAAAAATTCTATCAGGTTTGGTGGGCATGCAAAAAAGATTTTTTAAAAAAGGATATACTGTAGGTATGTGCACTAATCCAGAAAAAAAATGAGAATTAATCTATAGTTGAAAGCAGCAAGTTTTCTTTTGGGATTATTAAATAAGCAACTAGAAAAAAGTCACGAAGCTCTCTTTTTACATATGAAAGCTGCAGGGCTGCATGCTCAAAAATGGAAACACTCGACTCTACCCACAAAGGAGGGATTAATGGTGAAGATGATGGAAACTGCAGAGAATTTAAACTAATGTCTTTGATTAGAGAACCCTTCATAAACATTTTGTATGGAAGGAAAAAACATACAGTAATCATTTATATTTTTGATGATTAAAAAATGGGTCATTGAAAAAGAAGGTCTACTTTTTGTAACCTAAAGTAAGAGTTAATATTGTAAATATATTTATATTTGCTGCAGAAGAAATACCAAGATTCTTTTTTCTGTTTCTTTTCATTATCCTTCCTTCCTTTCTTTCTTCCTTCCTTCCTTCCTTCAATTTGTGTTATTATTGCAAATTATTATTTGTATTAACCTTGTCACAATAAAAATAGGATGAAGGGAGAACAGGGAAACTTTTCAAAATCTGGCTAAAAGATTTTCATTTAGCTGGAGGTGAGAAGACAAGATCTGCCAGTTAGGGACAGTTTAAATTAGATCATCTGGATGATGCTTCCTGAAACATTATTTTATGGTTCCACTGAACTTGGGAATATAAATAAGAATTTCTCCAACCCTCAAGAATAAAATGTGTCATAGAGTCACATTTGAAATGGAATGACCAGTCATTTTTGGAAGCGTACATTGAAAGGAACTCAAGGGATTTGAACATCTCAAGCCATGTCTGAGTTGACTACAGATGTCCTCTGCTAAATATAGAACAAAATTCTTGTTTTTTGAGTGAATACAAAGTGCTGTATTTGTATTTCTTAGTCCACAGGGAAATTGTTCATGGTAGCATTGTTATTAATAGTATTAGTATGGGCAGTATTAATATTATAATTTCAATTTGCATGACTATCCATCTTGAGGATTCATATCTTGGCAGTGAACAACCACTAGAAACATTACACAAAAATAGCAACTCAAAAACAACCAGTATGTGAAAAGTGTCATGGTTCCGATAGATGAAACTCTCCAAAAGAACTTTGAGGCATTGTTTACCTTAAATAATCTTTTATTCGAGAAACAAAGTATTGACACTACATAGCTGAAGCCAAAAACTGAATTCCCCTCCCCTGGCACAAAGTAGCAAAGCACAATTCCCTCCTCCAATTAACAGTAATAAATCACATTTCCCAATTAGTTTGAAGCATGGGCTTTCTCTCCAGCTCTCCAGCCCACCAAATCTTTATCAACTCTGGGCACAATAACCTTGGATTCCCACAGCTGAGTTATTATTGTTACGACTAGCTGGACTTTCATCCATATTCCCCCTCCCAGCATCAACTAACTCTAAAAGTGATAGAGGAAAAATGGCTACATTTCCATCTGTGGTCAAAGCAAGAACATCCAATGTTAGCAGCATTGACAAAAAGCAGAAATTTGCTCAGATAAAACCAATCTAATAATAAAAAGAACCTCAACTTGCACAGGTGAACACAATTCACATGTGGCTTACAAATTGTGCCTGATGGATTGGTTAACATTCAGTTGTTTTGAGTATCTTCAGTATAACAAGGTTGAGGGAAAAAAAATATTTCCTATTTAAATTATTCTCAGTGCATGGTTTCTTTTTCTTATCTTCAAAGATTTTCCTGAACTATGAAGATTTTTCAAATCGGATTTTAATTACTGCAGTGTAAACCTCTCTTTCCCCTAAAGGATAGGTGGATAAAAATGCCAATTCTATCATAAACATCTGGATCACTATGTAATGAATCATAATAATAAAACATTCCTGCCTTGACCCACTCACTTTCTGTCTGTCTGCTGTATGTATGTATGTATTTCTAGTAATGTGATTTGTAAATCATGTTTGTAATATGTGTGCAAAGAAATGTATAGGTTAATGTCCCGAGGGGCTCTTTTATCTGAAGCAATATGTAAATCAGACCACAACTTCCCATTTAAAGCAGCCAGGTGGTTTCCTGCAAGGCAAAGTTTGAGCACTTTCCTGAATACTTTCCTGTCAATTCCTCTGCATTCATTAGAAAGAGCAAAAATGATTCTGTGGCCAAAATTGGTCTTCTTACTAGCAGTCCTCCAAGGTAATGCTTCCCTCTCTAGCATTTCCTTCAATTCACCGTTACTATTTACAGAGATGTCACTGAAACCCATTTCTTTCTAGGTGTCCAGTCACAGGTCCAGTTGGTCGAGTCTGGAGGGGATGTGAGAAGCCCTGGAGGGTCCCTCCGTCTCTCCTGCCAAGCCTCTGGATTCACTTTCAGCAGCTACTACATGGGCTGGGTGAGACAGGCTCCAGGGAAAGGCCTGGAGTGGGTGACCTACATAACGACTGGTTCCAGTACTTACTACTCAGACAAAGTGAAGGGACGGTTCACCATCTCCAGGGACAATGCCAAAAGCCAGCTGTATCTGCAAATGAACAGCCTCAAAGCTGAAGACACGGCTGTCTATTATTGTGCAAGAGAGTCACAGTGAGAAGAAGTGAATCTGAAGCAAAGCAAAAACCTTCCTTTCTTCAGAGTAGCTCTGCAAATTGATTCAGCCCCGGATCCTGGAATCTTTTGTTCTAGGGATCCAGTTGGAAATAATGCTGGAAGACAATGAAAATTGGCTTCAAAACAACTTAATAGCTGGCCATCAACACCCAACACCCAAATCAACAACTAAATAACACAGCCAGAATAGCACAAAGCACACAGGGAAGCAGTTAGACAGAAATTCCCTGAGAATGGGCTCCAGCACATTCCGAACGTTTAGGAAGACTAAAGATCTGGTCCAAGTGAATGACAAGACTGGATCCTAGAATACAACACTATTTATTTTATCTGTTTCTTTTCTGTCAGTTTTAGCATTATTAACTCTTTCCCTCCCTCCCTCCCTCCCTTCCTTCCTTCCTTCCTTCCTTCCTTCCTTCCTTCCTTCCTTCCTTCCTTCCTTCCTTCCTTCTTTCCTCAAAGTGGTTTTTTATTATTATTTATATACTACAATGATATTGTTATTATTATTTCTGGTGACATTTTTATTACAATTATTATTATTACTTTTGTAATTGTTATTATTTCACTTTTTATGGCAGCCCATCTTGACAAATAAACTCAGGGCAAGTAACAACTGATAAAAACACCACACAAAGTAGAAAAAGAGGCTCCAAAACAAAAATGATCTAGCTCTGCATTCAGTTTTTTTGGGTTTCTTCAAAAGGTCATAGTAAAAGGGGGGGGGGGAGGAATGTATAAAACCTTTCCTGAACTTAGATGCCCTGCTGTTTTCACATTTTTTAACATGTCTCTTTCAACTGTTCTTTTTCCTTGTTCATGATTTGTTTCCTTGAATCCCTTTTAAGAACTGGTGAAATTTTGCAAGTCTTTCTTTCAATTATTCTTCTGTAAGATCTACCTTCATTTTTCTTTGAACTGAAAAAAAAAACCATCAACTGTGCAAGGAGTGTGGAAGGACAACTATGAAATCATTGCATTGAGGAACTATTTATCTCAACCAATATGTAAATGAAGGCACAATTTCCCCTTTAAAGGGAACAGTTGGTTTCCTTTTTCCAGTGACACCCACCACCACAAAGTTTGTGCATTTTCCCAAATCCTGCTTGAGTAGGGGGCCAGACTAGAAGACCTCCAAGGTCCCTTCCAGCTCTATTCTATTCTATTCTATTCTATTCTATTCTATTCTATTCTATTCTATTCCATCTATTCTAGTCTATTCTAGTCTATTCTAGTCTAGTCTAGTCTAGCCTAGTCTAGCCTAGTGTATTCATTACAGGGAAAGCAAAAATGATTCTGTGGCTGAACTTTCTTGCACTTCTTGGAGGTAATGTTTCCCTCTATGTAGAGTTTCCTTCCATTTGCTCTCCTTCTATACAGGAGATCTCACTGAAATAATTTCTTTTTAGGTGTCCAATCCGACATCCAATTGGTGGAGTCTGGAGGGGATGTGAGAAGACCTGGAGAATCCCTCCGTCTCTCCTGCCAAGCCTCTGGATTCTCCTTCAATGGCTCTTACATGGGCTGGGTGAGACAGGCTCCTGGGAAAGGATTGGAATGGGTAGCCTATATAAGTCCTGGTTCCGGTGCTTACTACTCAGACAAAGTGAAGGGACGCTTCACCATCTCCAGGGACAATGCCAAAAGCCAGATGTATCTGCAAATGAACAGCCTCAAAGCTGAAGACATGGCGGTCTATTACTGTATGAGAGGCATAGTGAGAGGAAGTGAATCTGAAACCTGTCAAGAACTTTATCTACATCTGATCAACTTACACTTATTTACACTGTCCCTTTTTTCTTTCAGTATTGCTAAATTTCATCAGTCTCATTTTTTTCTACATACTATTCCTTTTTCATTCCTTTTCCATTAATTTACACTCAACATCCTTAAACCTGAGTCTCTCTCCTTCTTAATTCTTTCTACATTAATCTATATAAAATTGCCTGATGCCTGAAGCTTTCTCCCCTCAGTTGGGCAGTGCCAAGACTTCCAGATATTGGAAATTGCAAATCTTACAGCAGTGCTTCTCAACCTTTTTAATGCTGTGACCCCAACCAGTCGTAAGTCAAGGACTACCCAACCGGTCGTACGTCGAAGATTTTCCCTGCCCGGGAGCGCAGCACATGCGTGGTGCAGCCCCCTGCGCTGGCCGAGGCGTAGCTGGCAAGGGGCAGCGACGGCGCAGGGCAAATACCCGCTGGACCACCAGCTGGCCCAGCCCAAGGGAGGAAAGATACCCACTGGGCCCCACGCACACCAGCAACTTTCCCTGCACGCGCCGGCCTCCCACCTCCCACCCCTGGCCCTCTTTTACTTGCATTTTTAGTAGTTGCTCAGCAAGGAAGGGTGGGAACTTCCAGACAGCTCGCCTTCGCTGCAGACAACTTGCAGCACTGTTTGCAGAATGGGGCTTTTGGCGGGCTCAGCAGGGCAAACACAGCCTGGACAATTCCTATTGGCTTTTGAAAACCAATAGAATTAGACTCTATTCAAGAGAGTCTATTCTATTGGCTTTTAAAAGCCAATAGAATAAAAGGGAGTAGCACAGCTAAGGAAAAAGGGGGACTGCATTGTTCGGTGACCCCCGTGAAATGGTCATTCGACCCCAAATGGGGTCCCGACCCACAGGTTGAGAACCACTGTCTTATGGTCTCATTTTGTAGACCATAATATATATTACCATATCTTACTTGAGATATATCTGTGACATTCCAAATGAGGGAATACAATGTGACTCTTTTATTTTTCTCAGTCCATTGTAAGAACATTGGTTAAACAGATATTTCTTATATTGACTGTATATCTTTTGGAGATCCATCAAATTGTGCTTTCTAAAACATTTTTAATTGTTTAGTCTTCTGAGCTTGAAGACTCATGTTTGATAGAAATTTCCTGAGGATGGGCTCTGGCATGAGTCCAAAAGACTAAATCGTTGGTCCCAGTGAATGACCCAGATTGGATACTACAAGACAACACACTATTGCCATTTTTTTCTGTTTCTTTTCAGCCTATATCTCCATTGCTAATCTTCCTTCCTTCCTTCCTTCCTTCCTTCCTTCCTTCCTTCCTTCCTTCCTTCCTTCCTTCCTTCCTTCCTTCCTTCTTTCCTTCTTATTTTTTTAACCTACAATGACAGTTTTTGGTAATATTTCTATTAAAATTATTCTTACTATTTCTCTTGCCATGATTTTATTTCAATTTTTATGGCTGCCCATCTTGGCGAATCAATTCTGAGCAAGTAACAACTAATAAAAATACCACATAAAATAGCAAAAGAACTCCCCAAACAAAAACGATCTTGCTCTGCATTCATTTCTTTTGGGTTTGTTCAAAAGGGCATGTTAAAGGCAAAAAAAAAATGGATAAAAGTTTTCCTGAACTCAAATGTGCTGCTGTTTTCATGTTTTCTGCCAAGTCTCTTTCAATTTTATTTTTCCTTGTTCATCATGTGTTCCCTTGAATCACTTTGGGGAACTGGTGAAATTTTGCAGGTCTTTGTTTCAATGACTCTTCTGTAAGGGCTGCCTTCATCATTCATCATTGGACTGAAAAGTTTTATAAAAATCAACTCTGCAGGAAGTGTTCAAGGACAACTATGAAATCATTGCACTGAGGAACCTTTTTATCTCAACCAGTATGTAAATCAAGGCACAATTACCCCCTTTAAAGGCAACAGCTGCTTTGCCTTTTCCAGACACTCCTACCAGCACAAAGTCTGTGCATTATCCCAACACCTCTCCTTTCAGCTCTCATCCATTCGTTACAGGGAGACCAAACATGATTCTGTGCCTAAACCTGTTATCCTTACTTGCACTCTTCGGAGGTTAAATTCCTTTTCTATTTACAGTTTAATTTCCTGCTCTTATATACAGGCGATCTCATTGATACATTTTTCCTTTTAGATGTCCAATCTGACATCCAATTGGTTGAGTCTGGAGGGGATGTAAGAAGACCTGGAGGGTCCCTCCGTCTCTCCTGCCAAGCCTCTGGATTCACCTTCAGCAGCTCTTACATGCACTGGGTGAGACAGGCTCCAGGGAAAGGACTGGAGTGGGTTGCAAGGATAGGTACATCCTCATCTCCAATTAACTACTCGGACAAAGTCAAGGGACGCTTCACCATCTCCAGGGATGATGCCAAAAGCCAGCTGTATCTGCAAATGAACAATCTGAAAGCTGAAGACACAGCAATCTATTATTGTGTGGGAGACACAGTGAGAGGAAGTGAATCTAAAGCTAAACAAAAACCTTCCTGTCTTCAGAGCAGCTCAGCCACTTGATTCATCCAAGATCCTGGAATAGCCAATGAGGCTTCATCACCATATATTGAGAATTTTACCATATATTTTTTTTGTCCTCAAAATCCAGGTGCAGAATGTGCTGAAAGACAATGAAGAATGAGGAACATGGCTTCAAAATTCCAACTTCACTGTTTACCAGGTGATCTGGCTTCAGAAAATAAAACCGTGTGGAATGTGATTTTTAGTACCATGGTCAAAGGCAAAAATATATATAAATAAATAAACCTTAGGATAATCTTTCTAAATGTCCATATTGCCGTAAAGATATTGAGAACATTTCTGCTCCAAAAGAATCTTCTTGCAGAATTAGGAAGATGTCCCCCTTCCTCATTTTTAATGCTAGGGGCAATGTTGTCATACAAAACACCTATGCCACAGGTGCTTTTTCATGATGCAACAAGATGGTGGGAAATGGAAGGATATATGCTATTCCCCTCCATCCAGTCAGAGCTGAAGAAGCTTCTTGGATGAGAAGTGAAACATCTTCAAAGAAAAACAAGGAAGTCCAGTTGCCTCATGAAAAAGCATCTTTGAGATAACTATGACCTGGATGACTAAGAGTCTCCATACACACCATTGCCTATGCACCAAAGGGGTGTTTAATAGGAAATAAAACAAGCTTCATTAGATGTTGTGTCATTTATTTCGGCCAAGAAATGTGGGGGAATTCATTGCAGAAAGCAGTTATGGTGGGAAGAGTTAGCGGTAAAAGGAAACCAAGCCATTAAAGAACACAATGGCTGGACACCATCAAAGCTGACACCAGCCAGAGCATAGAAAAACTCAAAAGAAATAGTACAAGATCAGAAGATGTGGAGAGACCTGGCCCATAAAATCATCAAGAGTTGGAGCCAACTGAATGAATAACATCATCATCATTAGATAGTGTTATATTTTGGAGGAAATATAATTGGTTGTTAGTTCTGTTATTATTTCCTCAAAATCTCTCAAGAAAATTCCACATCTCAGGATTCTATAATCCTCACTCTGAAGCAGAGAATATTTATAAAATTATATGCATCATTGGTTCTTGTCACCAGAAAAAGATCAGTCCAGGGCTTTATATAATTTGATGGAAATGAAAATAACGTAGAGGAACATTTTATCAATTATGGTGGACATGTAAAAAACAAAATTTTGGAAATTTTTGAGTTTAAATTGTTTAATATCAACCAAAAGAAATGATTCTAAATTGTTTGCTTAGATTTGTAAATGTTCTCCCTATTTAATGGAAATTTAATGGAAATCTGTTTCCATCTGAATGGAATTTGATTAAATTGGAATTTGACTAACTTTATATTAAAAGCAATACTAGAGTTTAGAAAAAAAAACTTTCAGTAACTCAGAATATCTTATTAAACTTGTTTATTTTTTTTGTGTGAAGTTAAAACGAAGTTGAGAAAAATTTTGGGATTATAAATAGCTATGCTGTTTTGAGTAAAGATTTGTATGCAAAACTGTTAGAAAAAGAGCTTGTGTTAATAAATGCAAACAGGGTTTGGTGAGCTCTCCTTTGTTGGTTCTTTGCTAGGTAATTTATTTATAAACAAGGACAAAGGTTGGAGGAGGTTTTGGCCCAGAAGTGTGTGCGTGGGGGGGGGGGAAAGGCAGCCAGTGGCATTTTTATCTAAAATTGACATTTGGGGACATCTTGGTGGTTAGCATTTCTTATCAAGTGTGGACAATTTTAATCAGGAAGCCTAAAGGAGGTATACACTTGTTCATAGCAAAGTGGTTTTCAGTTGTGGATTTGAAAGATGCTTTTTTCACAATTCCTATTCACAAGGCTAGCCAGCCGTTGTTTGCTTTTGAATGGGAGGGAGAACAAAAGAATGCCTTTAGGGAAGTGAAACGAGCCCTCACATCAGCTCCAGCTTTAGCCTTGCCTAACTTAGAAAAGCCTTTCAATTTGTATGTTGATACCAGGAAGAATGTTGCCCTGGGGGTGTTAACTCAACAATTAGGACAGTGGCAACGCCCGGTGGCTTACTTATCTAAGCAATTAGATGGGGTTGCCCAAGGCTGGCCACATTGCCTGAAGGTTCTTGTTGCTATAGCAGTCCTTTTACAGGACTGTAATAAATTGACCTTCTCATGTCCCATAAGTGTCCACACCCCTCATGCAGTTCATTCTATCTTGGATAATAAAGGGCATTTGTGGATCAGCAGTCAAAGGCTTTTTAAGTATCAGGCGATGATGATTGAAAATCCTCAAGTGAAATTAGTGGTGTCTAACCTGCTAAACCCTGCCACCCTATTGCCCACAGAAGTGGATTCAGAACACAACTGCTTGCAAGTTTTGGAAACTGTATATTCAAGCCGTCCGGATTTGTCTGATATTCCTCTTCAGGATGCTGCCCTGAATTGGTATACAGACGGCTCGAGTTACATGAAGGATGGGAGGAGGGTTTCTGGATATGCGATTGTGAATGATGAGGAAGTGGTGGAAAGTAGTCCACTAGGAGCAAGCTGCAGTGCTCAAGTAGCAGAATTATGGGCATTAATTAGGGCATTGGAAAGAGCTGAAGGGGAAACTTTGAATGTTTGGACTGATAGTAAATATGCTTTTCTAACTCTGCATGCTCATGGTGCTGTGTATAAGGAGAGGGGATTCAGGGATTCGGCTGGCAAACATGGGTTACATGGACACTTGATAAAGCATCTTCTCGATGCAGTACAAAAGCCAGCAAAGGTTTCAGTTATGCATTGTAAAGGGCCATCAGGGGGGAGTATGGGGGGAACTGAATAAGCAAGTGGAAAAACTTAGGGACTATGTTGTTGAACAAACACCTTCTAAACTAATAACAAGATGTCATCCCTTTAAACCAGGGGATAAGGTGTGGGTAAAACATTGGAAACATGAACAACTGGAGGGGAGATGAAAAGGACCTTATGAAGTAATAATGGCCTCTCCTTTAGCAATAAAGATTGCAGAATCTAAATCTTGGATTCACTGGACCAGAGTTAAAGCAGCTGCAGAACCTCTGTGGACAGTGAACAGGGACCCCAAGGTTCCCACCAAAATCACTCTTAAACGTGTTTAGTATGTTTAATGAATATTTTATTGTTTGTAAACCAGATATTGTATTAGCACAAGTGTATCCTGCACATATATCTACGGCTGTCTGGCTGAAATTCAAACCCCTGCTAAGCCACACCCGGAAGCTGGCTTTCTACGCACGGGAGAAGAAAGGATGAAAGGCTTCCTTCTGCTTTTATATAGTACTATTGTTGCATGTAATAATGTTTGTCTTTCTAATTTAGGCCAATGGAGCAAGCCAGAAGAAGCTCCATGCATTATTCAATCTTATGCTATAGGCACGGGCACTTGTGAAGGTCACCCCCCCTATTGGATTTTCCCCAGAATGCTGGAATGGTAGCTGGCCTCATCCTTGTCAATTTCCCCAAGCATTTGACAGAATAGTTAAAGAAGTCTGTATGACAAGACAACCTGTCAATCCCGAAGCCTGTCAATATGTTGGATATATTCTTAGGAAAGGCATATGTGTAAAGGCCCCATATAAGAAGCCTCCTCCTCCTGTTACTCTGGAGTGTGGGCCTCCCTTATTCTGGGGATGGGAGCGGGTCACCCTAGTCTCGTAGTTGAAGACGGGATGGAAGGGGACTTGCATTGTACATGTAATCCCGGGGGAATTAGGAGTTACTATCCAACGACCCCCGAGGAAGCGCCCAGAGAGAAAACGAAGCAGAAGGTCCCATCAGAATAAGGATATGCCCCATCCATTGGAGTCAAGGATGCAATATAATTTGTGGGTCCAATTGGCTAAACTAGCCAACACAACTGATTTTTGCCTTTCTGAAGCATATGACATGGAGAATCTGCTGTCCACGTTTAATACCAGTATGTGTTCCTGTCACAGCAGCCAAGGAGTTCAGTCACCACGAGTTTAAAGAACACATAGGCTATGAAACAATGTACAGCTGGGATCACATTTCCAAATTTCTACCCACTGATGCTTTAGCTTTACATACTCCTAACGTAGCCATTCCAGAAGACTTACAATGTGCACATATCACAGGGTGTGAGCAGAATACACCTTCACCTCATTGCCTGAAAGTGAGCCAAGAAAAGCTAAATTGCACATCTTTCCAAACAGTGTCTTTTGGGTATGCAAACATATGGTTACCTAAAGGGTGGTTCTTCACATGTGGGAATTCCAGAGACAAGAGTATAACAACATACATACATCAGACCCAAGTGTTACAGAATGAAATTTATCTGCATAGATGAGATAAGTCTCATCAGGGAGGAATAAAGTGGTACCTCGAAAAATACTGATGGTCCGACAAAGAATATGGGTAAAAAGCAGATGGCCCACCAAAGAATGTGTATGAAAGGGAGGTTTGTTTTGCTTACAAGACAACTCTTAAATTTAGGATGGCCAGACATCCTGTTCCCAGCTCTGCACATGATATATTACTAACTGCTTGTCACATGGTGTATCTAAATTGCTTAACACTTGATATATTGCTGATTGCTAAAAACATTCCAATGTAAACAAGGAGCTATCGATTATAGATCTGTCTAGTAGTTTTTCTATGTTAGAATAAGGACCTATAGAATGTAACCATGTGTGGAATGTGACCTGAAAATAACCCCCGCCTGAAGGGTTATAAAAATGGTCATCAATGTACAATCTGGGTTCAGATTCTTTAGCCATGATGGCTCTCTGAACCTGCGCAATAAAATAAACTTCCCTTTCCTGGAAAGAGCTGACTCAAGTCTTTCAATTCTACAACAGGGCAATTAGAAAAAAAAAGTCATGAAGCTCTCTTTTTAATATATGATAACTGAGAGGGTATTATTATATAATCAAAATTAGAAACACTGGACACTACCCACAATGGAGGGATGGACCGTCAATATGATGGAACTTGTAAGGAAGCCTAAACTAATGTCTTTGATGAGAAAATACTGTATAGACATTTGCAGGAAACAGAAAAACACACAGTCATGATTTGTGGTTTTGATGAAAACAAATGGATAGTAGAAAAACATGAGCTCCTTTTTGTAATTATAAGTAAGAGTTAATATTGAAAATGTACTTATATTTGCTGCAGAAGAAATAAGAAACTTCC